ACTCCTGGGGTCTACATCCTCCAGGAGTAAATATATATGCCATAGAATACAAATTTTGCCATTTTTCACACAAAAGTCAGTGTCCATTTGACCCGCTAAATATTGACCGATCTTTATCAAAACATACATGCTTATTCTCTGGCCCGATCCCCTTCTCCATGCAAAATTTCGCGGTGTTTGGGCCATAATTGCGGCCTCTGGAGCGACCAGAAAAACCGACAAAAATTTAGTATTTGGTCCATTTCATCCCCTAAATATTAACCGATCTTTTCCAAAAACAATAGGGGTCTTCATTGGCCAGAACCCATCCTACATGCAAAATTTCGTGAAGATTGGTCCATAACTGTGGCCTGTATCGTGTTTACAAATTATAATGGACAGACGGACGGACGGACGGACGGACGGACGGACACACATGTCTAGATCGACTCAGCTAGTCGAGATATGACGATCGGTATACTTAAAGGTGGGTCTAGGACCAATATTTCGCGGCGTTACAAACATTTGGGGCTGCACAAAGCTATAATACCCTGACAACATAGTTGTGTAGGGTATAAAAATACATGAATCTATATACATATATTAAAATGTAGCCAAAAAAATGTATACTAACTCATCACTTGAGAACGGCTGGACAGATGTGACTCCAAATTTCTTTCAGTTGTCAGTAATTACGGTAGGTAGGTTTTTATGAAAGACATTTTTGAGAAAAATCCGCGAAAATCTTGCAAAAATTATTTTAAAGAAACGGCTGGACCGATTTGACTTAAAGTTTCTGTTAGTAGCCTGTAATTGAAGTGGAAAGGTTTTAACGAAAGAACATTTTGAGAAAAATTCGCGAAAATGTTGCAAAATATATTTTGAAAGATATTAGCATTTCCACACATTTTATATCGAACCTTTATGATTTCATCTCTTCGTTGTTCTTTTTGGACATATTTTGTGCGAAAATTGTTTATGTTTTTATATGTTTTAGTAAAAACGAAAACGACTACAACAAAATACGATTCAAAGGACTTATAAATCGTATGTGGTCAGAATAGGAAAATATGCAAACTAATTGTGGGATTCCGCCAAAACAAATATATTCACTAATATTTATAATTTCCCAATTTTTGTATCTAGCTTTAATGTTTAAATAAATTGTTGGTTTTTTAAGACATATGGTTAGTTAGATCAAAACGTATAATTTCATAAAAATATGTATGTTCTAATACTAATAATGCGAAAATTAACATCAACGAAAATAATGGTAATGATAGCATTATTAGTACTCCCGTCAGATATTTGAAGTTTTGTCTTATTTTCATCAGAGTCCAAGCTGTTGGATATGAAATCTCATTTTCATATTTGTCAAAAAAGTGTATTATTTTTTCGACAATCGTTCTTTTTTTTGCCGTCAACTTGAAGTTTGGATGTGGACCTATGTAACCTTAAACAACAACTTATTCAAGTGTTAAATTGAAATCAAGTTGTTAAACAACGTGAGGATATAACAAATCCGATTACATTTCACGATTTAGAGTTAAGAGTAAAACTGGCATTTACAATTAAATTAAAAATTTCCCCTTAACTGTCAAAAACTGAATATAGAATGTATAGCAAACATATACAAATCTATAACGGCAATGTACCTATAACTGAGCGGAAACCATTAAATTTCTATGCCAATTTTTTTGGAGTTTTATACTGATTTCAATATAAAAATCAAAGGGACCATTTGACATGAATAAAATGATATTGTAATAAGATAATGTAAAGAAGTTGGAGCTATAAGAATACATTATCTTCTATTGAAAAAAAAAACATTTGTTGGAATAAGTTCTACCAAATTATAAACTGTTACGTGCTTGGGCTTGCAAGCTTATATTGATGCAATATTGATAAGGCAAAACAACGTTTGCCGGGTCAGCTAGTATCATATATATTTCATATTGTATAACATAGCAACATAAAGTTTTACAAGTGTAAACATCGTTAAGCTCAGTCGGGCCGAATTTTGTATACCCTCCAACATTTAAAATACCTGTAATCAGAGATAGTCTATCAGAAACAGTTACGTAACTGACATACATTTGCGAAGTATAATACGTACGTCAGAAACGTCGAAAACACATGCAATACCATTAGGTTTTTAACAAAAGATGTATTTCCATTTGGGAATATGGAAATTGGATATTCATTAATGAAACCCATATCAAATTTTAAAATTTTCTTCCTCGCAAAAAAAGTTTAGAATTTTCTGTCGGGACTAGTATGTAATAGTTAGAAATTATCTGTATATGGTGAAAATAGTGAATTAAATCACGATTCCTACATTTTATACAGCCAAATGACGTTTTCGGCGTTTACAACTATTTGACAGCCGAAACAGTAAAAATTCGTCAATCGGGCCATCCCTGCCTGATTGTTCGGCAGGGATGGTCCCCAAATACGGAATAATGAAGGGTGCCGTTATTTGGGTCAACCAAAAAAAAAAAAAATGTACCAATATTGAAAATGAAAAATTATAATAATAACAAATTTGGAAGGGGCCATATCCAAAGAGAATTCAATACTTATTAGGAATTAAATTATTACTAATTGGGTTGAAAAAAGTGCCCAAAATACCGAATAATTGGTAGGAAGATTTGCTACACAATGGAAGCCCAAAGTACAGTAAAATATCGCTAAACCGGACAATTGATTGCATACCCCAATCCGGATTGCCAAAATATCCGTATTGGCATAACTTTTTATCAGTTTAGTGATGCGTCAAATAGTTTAAAAAATAAAAATGTTCATTGCAAAAATATGATTGTGGAGACTTTAATGTACTAAATTATGTCAATTTCGTTAAAAACGTACCAAAAATTACCAAACTACCGAAAATATAAAGGTGCAGTCCAAACATTCCCATGAAGTGTATGCTTATCACGAATATATTCATTTTATGTGTTCTCAGACCCATATTACGATGTGCTTGCAGCACTAAATGACAGAATTCGTATAACCTATAAATTACAAATGTATGCCTTCACACCAATTTCCACGTAAACACGTTTACTATAACTATATGGGATTGTCAAGCTGAATCGACCAAACACAAATTTCACATACTAATCAAAAGTCGATAGCAGTCAACAACAAACACGCAATTGATTCTCTGTCAAATAATTTGGAATCTGTGAGATTTTATTTCAGATTTTATAAACAACGACAAACGTTTATTAAAGTCCCAAATATCATTTAATATTCATTTAAGTTGCTAACAAATAATCCAAATATTTGAACAATTAATTTACGTGTGAAACTCATCAAACTTTAGAAATAATATAAAAACAACAACAACAACGACAACACTCTAAAGGTGGAAAGACAAACGGACAAAACAACTTAACTAGAAGTAAACACAATACATCAAAGAATTAAATGCTGTACAGCATATTGTAAGTAATGTGTATGGGGGGGTTTGGTGGTGTTATCGGATGTCTACGAATGCAAATGCTTTACTTATTTTTTCGCAGCCAGTATTATTTTTTAAATTAATTCAGAATAACTTTATACACTCAGCAATTTAAAAAGAAATCCCTTTCAGATATTATTCATCTTCACTATAAGTATACCCACAAAATGTCAGTGTCCACGTACATACATACATATACACACAATTTGAAAACAGAAATGTCAACTAACAGTTTCAATTCAAATTAATACGCCAGTTTTGTTGACCAGAACCGATAACCGACCATTGTTTATTCTCCATAGACTTGGCTGTAGCTATTTGGGCGCTTTATTTGTTTCCATATCTAAAATATCTACATTAAGAGGAAATTTAAATTTTTATAAGCCCATCCAACGATGATGTAGGTAGACAAATGTCAATAAAACAACGATGCAGCAACAATTCCCGGTGAATGAAGTTTATTTATTAAATCAATTTTCATAGAAATCATCATTTGATTGTTTACCCCTTTCTTAGGCGAAGTGATAATTTCTTCAAAATACTTCAACAATACCCAATTATTGTCAGGCGGCATGGGAACCGCTTCTAATCGTTTTTATTTGTATGTGAGCGGTAATTGATATTTGCTAAGTTTTGAAATTTTACAAGACGAGAAAAAAACGAGCGATTGTATGGAACATTTTCATTTCATATTCGTATATACGGTTTTTATTGGTATTTAGATATTTAACACTTCTTTGAAATTGAGTATTGTTAAAATCTGGGTATTGATGTATACATATTCGAATTCGTCATATATACATACTAAATATAGTGATTTTGCGGTGGAAGTTGACAATTGGAATCGACTGATATTAATTACTGATATCTATTAATTAGAAATATGTAACTGTAAAATAACCCAAAAACTCCTATCATTTACATTTTGCTGGATTTCGTTAACCTTGTGGGTTTGAATTGCCATTTTGCCAAGAAAGTCCTCATAAAGCAGATTGATCCGATAAAAAGTTCTAATGTGCACGCCGTTTTAACCACCTCTATGCGGATTTATGTCACATATATAAGCAACGGAATTGACAATAATGTAAATGTAGTATTAGGAACAATAAAGGTGTGGAAAATAATAGTATTTGGTCGACAAATGGGTGGAAAAAAATAATGTTATCAATATTGAGAAAATAAATTTTGTACTGCTTTTCTCAACATCAGGTTTGGAGTTTATCGAAAAACCCATTAATCATTCAATTTAATACATTGATAAATAAAAAAATGTAAGATGCAATGCCGACCATTGGAAACTGTTGCGACTTATGGACCATGCCACATGTAAGAGGGAAATGCACTAGAAACAACAAACTAATGAAGTTTTGGAAATCCTTAAATTGTCGACGACGGTTTGCTTGCCCTTGTTACAATTTACAAATTTTTATTTCAATATGTACATATGTATGTATGATTCGTATATACACCCGTCGGAATGAAAAACAAAACAAACAAATTATTCCGACGGCAATTAAAAAAAAATAAATAAATATTTATTTCGATTTTCACTTACCATATCATCGCCCAGGTCCCCTTCACGGTCAGGTGCATTTGAACGCCCTGTACAGTCCATCGTATTGAGTTGCATTAGATGTAAAATGATGAAGGTTTTCTCCCTTGGTACACACACACGAACAGTAACAATTTAATTCGACACTGAGTGCTACACAAATTTACAAAATATATTTTACTTGGAATTTCTAATTATATTTTATTTGTTTCGCAAATAATTAAAAATTGCGCCAAAAATTGTCACAAAACACACAAAATACACGGCGAGCGAAGGCTGTAGTGAATATCATCAAATCATGGTCAACCACTCAACCGGTAGAACACCATACAGACGTTGTCACTCGCGAGAATGGGAATCGGAATCAGATCACTGAAACCCGTTAGGTATTGCGTGGTGATAATGTAGTTGTTGTAATATTTGTGATGTTATCGTCAGAGAAAATGTTTATGTTTCAATATTTTTGGGACAAGTTGAATTTTTGCACCGTTGATTTCGGTATTGCATGGAACTTAATGTTGTATTTGGCTCTTTCACTTCTTCCTCTTCTTTCTTATTACATAGCTTGCTTTGATTTGAATTCGTTTTTTTTGTTTTTGCTACTGATTTATATGAAATGTTGTCACAATAATTTTATTATTTTCAAGACAATTTAATTTACTGCAAAGTTGGAGGAATATAGTTGTTTTTATATTTTATTTGCTTTTGTTGTTGATATTTTTCCTATTTTGTCATTAATCAAACAAAAACACTCAAATTCCGCACAAAAACGACGCCGTTGCGTGGACAACGACGATCACAATCCGAATGAGAAATGGAATTAAACAAGAAATTAACCACCAGCACAGCAGTTGTTGGGGCAAAGGCGCGAGGGCCGAAGGTGAGGTTGAAATGGATTGAGGCAACAGCAACAACAAATATATAGCGAGCTACCACCACATCAACGAAGACGACGACCGACAAGCTCAGCAATAACACAATTCATTTGTTGTATTTTTTATTTGATTCATATTGGAATCGAATTGAGAAATGAACTCTCCCGTGTTTGCTCGCTCGCGCAGCCCACTCGGGTACGTTTGATTTCTCTGGTTGGTATTTGTCCGCGATGTTTTTGTTGTTGTTGGGTGCATTGTGGAATGGAGCGTTGCCGTTTTTCTTTATCGAATTATACGGAAAAGAAAACAAAAACAATGCCAAATAAATTCCAATAGGATTTACTATTTATTTCAAATTGTTCCGTTTCCAATTTATTTCTGCAATTTCATTTCCATTTATTCCGTCCTCCGTTATTGCTATGTTCTCTGTTCACATTACCCAGACGGGCAACCGCAACAAACTGTATACAGTGGTGGTCATATAAATTGCACACCTCAGGCAGGCAAAATATTTTCATTAAGTCTAGTTTGGAATACTTTTATACGAAATCTTTTTTATAACTTTTTAGAAAAGTTTAATGTGAAAATTGCTTTTGTTAAAAACAATGGTTTTTATGAAGACTTCTTTTTTAGATAACGACAGTTTTATTGTTGCAATTATAGAAACTATCGCCTTTTGTCCAAAAAGAAGTGACGCCGAAGTGACTTATTAGGCGAGGGAGTGAGAAACTCACTTCCAAAAGCTTGCATGGTTATTAATCTCTATGATTTCAAAAAATTCTGGTAAATTTGCGCCTTCTTTTTTAATTTTTAATGTTAAAATTTGAATACTAATACAATATAATTTACGTTAGCGATCGTGTTATTATATGCGGCATATTTTCGATGTTTCATTTAGAGCTTTTTACTAGTGCGCTCTGTGATTTAAAGTATTCTTGAATTCTTGTAACATAATTTTTAAATTAGGAGGTGAAACTTTACAAGCTCTCATTGTACATCACAAGCTTTGATACATAGAAATTGAATTTCAAAATATATAACTGTCGCAATGTTTAAAATCCCTAGCTAATAAGCGTATTTAGTTGTACGGGTTTTTATATTTTTACCGATGTTTTTGAAATATTTCCATTCCGATGTCTAAGTAATTCGTGTATAAAACTTTTAAAATTTTAGGGCAATGTTATCTATAAAAATCATTGATTACAATGTATTTTCTTACAAAAGATAAGTAAAACCTTAATGTTTTTTGAAGATTGATAAACAAAAATGAAAAAAAAAATACAGAAAATACCTTTGGGGTAGATTCGGCATTTTAAATTGGGCTACAATCGGTCAAATACCGAATATGGCCGATTCTTTTTAGATTTCCCTTTAATAAATATTTAATATAGTTCGAAATTACAAACATAAGGCTAAACGTTCATCTATTGCCAAAAATGATATTGTGTGTGGTCTAGAGATGTCAACGTCTGCCACTAGAAAACATAGCCGTAAAATAAGGTGACCAGATTTTGAAAATTAAAATAAAGGACTGAATGAAAAAAATATATTTTTAATAAAAATAATAGTATGCGTATAAAATGTCCATTTTGATTTACTTATAAATATATAATAATAATTTATAACTAGTGAAAAAGCGTTAAGTTCGGCCGGGCCGAACTTTCGATACCCTCCATCATAGATATACTGACAGGTACTTGAAATGAAAATATATGGAGCATATGACAGGTACTTGAAATGAAAATATATGGAGCATATATAAATCGCTAATGAGTGCATACACTTTTACAAGGTGAAAATGTGCCTCATCGAAATATTGGATCTAGACCCCATGTTTCTTAGGACCAAATACGTTTCAGAAAATTTGCATTTTATCCAAACTTTGCCCAACCTATTATTTCTTCCAAACTTAGTTCAAGTTCGAAGATGGGGAATATCGGTCCCCGCCTTCTGGTACCTTCCACACAGGGGCTAGGGCTTGACCAAATTCGGGCTATAGTTCATATAAAGTTCATTATGGAACCACACGTTCTATTTTTTTTTTATTTCGATTTCCTCCGCAGGTGAAATGATTACAACAGAACCAAACCCAAAACGCGGAACAAATCGGATAACGATTTTAATATGAGAAAGGGGGTTATATGGGGACTACCCCAAAAAGGGGGCGAATATTAATACAAAAATACAAAATACCAAATTGCAACGAATTCGGTTCAGAAACGCGCCCAAGAACCCCAAAATACCGAAATACCCTTATATGAAGGCAATCCGAAAAAATTTACAGCCAAAATATTGAAAATTTGGAGGTACCGTTATATGGGGGCCAGCAGAATAAGTGAACCTATGTTTACAATTTTCTGTGGATAAATTTAGTACCCAATAAGAACCCAATGTACCAAATTTCAGCGAATTCGGTTGAAAAACGCGCTCAAGAACCCCAAAATACCGAACATTGGGGGGTATTCTTATATGGGAGCTATGGCAATGCAAAATTTCAGCACCCTATCTCAATTCCAACAGAAGATAGCGTGATTACAACAGAAGATAGCGTGATTGATGAGTTACAAACGGAATATCAAAATTAATATACCATCCATACTATGGTGTAGGGTATAAAAATAAATATTGAGTCGCGTATTAAAACAAAATAGACCCTTTAAAGTATCAGAATTTCAATTAGACTGATAACAATGATAATTACCAAGCTATGCCATTTACTTTATTATGAAAACAAGTAAAAAATGTCGTTAAGTTCGGGCAGGGCGAACCTGAGATGGAATATAAAACTCTGTTTTATATTCACCTCAGGGTCAAATTGTATAAACTACCCCTTTTACACATGTTATTCAAAACATATCAAATGTAATTCGAAAATTCCATTTGTAATTCACAACATATAATTTGCAATTCGAGAATTCTATTTGCAATTCACAACATATCAGCTGTAATTCGAGAATTTCAAATTCATTTGAAATTCAAATTCCATTTGAAATTTGAAATTCATAAAATTCCATTTGAAATTCTTAACATTTGTTTTGAAATACATAACATTCCATTTGTTCTTCATAACATTTAATTTTAAATTCGAAAAATATTATTGGTAACACAAAGGAATATGTATGAATTTGAAATAAATTGTTATGTATTACAACTGAAATTTTATGAATTACAAGTGAAATGTTATGAATTTCAAATGGATTTCTTTGAATTTCAAATGGATTTCTTTGAATTTCAAATGAAATTCTACGAAATTCAAATTGAAATATTCGAATTACGAATGAAATTTTTTAAATTTCAAATGTAATTTTTTGAATTTCATACGGAAAGTTTAAAATTACAAATGAAATGTTGTGAATTACAAATTACATACTCGAATTACAAGTGAAATGTTATGAATTGCAAATTGAGTTTTCGAATTACAAATGAAATTCTCGAATTGCAATTGAAATGTTTTGAATAACATTTGTAAAAGGTGTAGTAAAGTATTCCAAAGTTTATTTTCTCAATGAAAAGTGCACTCAAAAAACACCCCAAACTATTAAAATTGCCAAGTCAGCAAACAACATGTATCCCCACATTTAATACTGGTCGCAAACTCTCCCTTAAAGCTTGTTTTTTAATTGAAATCATGGTTATTAGTTAGTTAGTTATTACCCGAAACTGCCATGAGTTACGCTATTTGAGCGCCAAAATACAACACTTTGCAAGTGTCTGGCTGTTTCTTCCCAATAGTTTTTATTTTTCGCACGTTTCATTTCATTTGTTTTCATTATTAGAGAGGGTACATGAGAGAGGGAGAGAGTAAGTAGGAGAGAGGTGGAACACGCTTTATTTTTGTTCGTTGCTTTTTATTTTATTCGACTGAAGGTTTGTCTGTGCGTGTTATAAATTAATTTCAGCTATTCTTTTCTCTCTCTCTCTCTCACTCTTTTTGCTCTTTTGCTCTTTCATTCTGTCATGGTTCCGGGCTTATCAATATAATCATTATACTGTGTATTTCCTTTCCCTTGCTGTTGTTGTTATATAAAATTTATTTGAACGGTGTTCAGCCAATCAGAGTAGGTTGTCTAGTCGTCAGTTAGTGGATGAGATGCGCGATTGTTGTTATGTAAGTATGTACCACGGAATTGTTAGATATGTGTATATGCATGTGTCATGGGTATTTCACCTCTCTGCATTTAATTTGTAATTGTATCTTGTATTTATAAGTGGGCATATGTTTGTTGGCTAGCGATTATGC